TATTTTTGATAAATTTTAGCCAAATTTAACAAATTTTAAATCAAATAAAATCTAAGAAATATATTTTACCGCGTCTTATAATTTTTTTTTTGTTTTAGTTTGTACTTCATGAATTATTAAAACTAAGTAAAAAAAAAACACAACTCATTAAAAAATTTTAGATGGACTTAAGATACTAAAGCAATTACATTTAATATATTTGTCCTTGCAATATTAGAAAAACGTAATTTTCTACACCATATATTTTTTTTAACTAAAATTTATTTCTTATAGCATTTTGGAAAAATAAAGAAAAATAAAAGATAGCAGGATAGCCAATTAACTAAGAGGTATGGTACTTTTAAATTAAAAAGCTATTTCTTATATAATATTTTGGAAATTGCTGGTTTTGTTACTTTTTAACACCAAGTCTGACATATTTCGACTTGCAGATGCCAGCATCTGTTCCCAATAAATTCGAAACATGCGATTTCCGATGGCCGAAGAAATTTTCCAGTATTCGCATATCAGACCGCAAAGTCGTCTCGACCATTTGACTTCCTGCCACGGCCAACTGCATGCTGGCAACGACAGGCCTTTTCTCTCAATGGAAAACCGACCAGTGGCGATTCTCAAGCGAGTTGTTGTACCGAACGTGCCATTCAGAAATTTTCTTTGTTAACTCGCTAGCCACCCTCCCTATTTTCCATGTCTCTAGTGATTTCTCAGTAATCACTGCGTGTTACGTGAATGTTTCCCTTATGCTTTTCGTTATTACGAAGCTGGGAAATTTTTAATTTGCTCTGTTACTTTATCATCTAAAATGAAATGGAGTTTCAGGTGTGATTATATTGGTAAGCAAATATTTTAAACATTTTTAAGGTCAAGTTTAAATTATTTATTTACTGAAACGTAACGTGGCTGTTTGACTGCTCAAATTGGAGAGACCGAGAACGATTGTTACATTTTAAATTAAATATTTTTATTTATTATTTAGCTTTGTTATACATATATTTAATAAATGTTAAAAAATTAGTATGAATTTTCTATGTTCTTTTTTAAAATCTTTTTTTTTAAGGTGAAGGGTGAGAAAAAGTCCTTTATATCTCACAAGGAAAGTCAATGTTTAATTGTTTAACAAAACATTGAGTGCGACCGGTTTCGAAGTGTCATCACTTCATCTTCAGGCTCGCCTAGTGGAAAGGAGAATATGTGGTGTAAGGTGTGTTAACTTGGAAACAGAACGATATATAAAATAATAAAAAAGAGAAAACTCACCATACTCTCCATCCACTAGGGAATACTACAAAAACAAGTTTCATCAATTTTGGGTTGAAATAAATTGTAAAATGAACCGATTTACACGTAATAAAAAGTTAAAAATATTTGAAAAAACAAATATTAGTCAATTATAGTAAAAATTTAAAATATTCAAGACTATACAAAAACAAATCACATACATTAAACAGATTAAAAGATAAGGCCTATTTTAAACATTGTTGTTTTTTAAAAAAAAAACTAAAATTTTTTGAAAGGAGACCTGTCAAGTTAAGGCCTCTACAGGTGGTGGTAAGTATTATAACGAAAAAATTCTTGGGTAAACTTATGACAGGGTATAGTTAATAAGATGTAAACTATGAGTGAAGAATTATTTATTATCTATTATATAAGATTTGGGCCATGAACCAATCATCAAGTGTATGTGATGTTGTAGGAAGAAGAAAGAAGAAGACATGACTGGGTTAACTGTTGTGAAGCAACTGAAGAATAAAAGAAGAAAATGACGCATGTGGATATCAGACAATCTAACCTAATCTTTACACGTGCTCGTTGGTTTGTTATGGGAAAAAATATAAAAATTACTTACTGAAATGTACCCCTTGCAAGAAGATATGTGAATAGAAATAAAGGGGGGAGGTTAAAAAGGAAGTTAGAACGATAAATTTAGATTAGTGTTGAGAAAACAGGAGGAGTTTCTGACAATATCTGGGCATTTAAGCAACCAACAGGATTTAATTTTAAATGTCTCAATATCTCGAGGTTTTCGAAGCTATTAAGAGTAAATCTATTGTAGGAACTATGAAGGATTTCGAAACCTTCAGTTGAATCGAAGTCGTGATTTGAGTCCAGTAGGTGGTTGGCAAAATGTGAAAAACCTGTTGTATTTTGGTTAAGACAACGTAAATGTTCTTTTAAACGGATCTTGAAAATTCGAAATGTGTGTCCCACATAGAAAGAATGGCAAGATTTACAAGTTAATTTATAAATTCCAGATAAGTCAAAGGGATCTAATTTATCTTTATTATGAACAAATAACTTATGTAATGAAGAGGGGGTTTTGAAAGATACTTTAAAGTGGTCTTTGAGTAAGCTAGCCACTTTATAGGATGCTTTTCCAATAAAGGTAAGAGAAATGTATTTCTTACTGGTGGTTAGTTCATGTACCATATTAGGATTGTTAATATAAACTAAATTTTGTTGAATTTTATTTTGTTTATGTGTTAGCATTTTATCAATAATATCTAGTTCAAGGTTGTGATCTATAGCAATAGTTTTAATTATATTTAGTTCCTTATTAAAGTTTTCCGTAGACAGAGGAACGTTTAATAGCCTCTCTAAGTAGCAATTAAAGGCAACCAATTTATGTGTTGCTGGATGGTTAGAGGTATTGTCTATAACTGTGCCTGTATGTGTTGGCTTTCTATAGATGTCAAAGTTGAACTTGTTATTATTGTGTGAGATTTTAAGATCTAAAAAGTTAATAGATTTGTTTATTTCAATTTCTAATGTGAATTTAATATTAGAATGTAAGTCGTTAATATAAGTCAAGAAGTCATTTAATGAGTCTAAGTTACCTGACCACAAAATCAAAATATCATCAACATATCTATAATAGAATTTCACATTTGAGTGGAAAAGGTTGTTTTTAAGGATTTTTTCTTTTTCAAAATTGTGCATAAATATGTCTGCTAATATTGGGCTAAGTGGAGATCCCATAGAAAGTCCATTTGTTTGTGAAAAAATTTCATTGTTGAATGAAAAAAAGTTTTGTTCTAAACAAACCTTGAAAAGGTTCAAAAATTCTACTAGTTCAATATCAGACATATTCGAACTTGATAAATGTGATTCAACAAAACCTAGAACTTCTGATATAGGAATATTTGTGAATAAGTTTGATACATCTAAAGAGATCAAAGAATCGGTATCATTAATGTGAACATTTTTGATGTTGTTTACAAGTTGTGCACTATTTTTGACTGTATGTGTAAAGTGATCTTTATAATGGATTTTGAGTATGTCATTCAACCACTTTGATGTATAATATGTTGGTGAATTTATATATGACACGACAGGGCGGATTGGTATGTCATCAAAATTGTCAGATTTGTGTATTTTGAGAAGGCCATATAGCCTAGGTATTAATTTGTGATCTGGTTTGAATTTATTAAACAAGGAATCATTAATCAAATGTGTACAATTTTTAAGGGTAGTTTTAAATTTGGTATTATACTTATTTAAGGGGTTAGTGATTATAACGAAACTGTTAGTGTTTAAAAAGTTGTAAACTTTAGACAAGTAATCAAATTTGTTCAGAATTAATAGACAATTGCCTTTATCTGCTTTTCTCAATATTAGGTCATTATTTTTAATCTTTTTATTAATGTTTTTAATTAAATTATCATTAAAAGTGCCTCTTGAAGAGAGATTATTTAATAACGTTTCTTTTTATTTTTTGAATATGTTAACTAATCCACATCTAAGATCTTCTTTATTGTCAATTTCAAAGTTTTGTAAAATGGACTCTGCTTCTACTTCTAGTAGTTCTAAGTTTTTATTAAGTGAAATGGCATTTGATCTAGTTGGATTAAATTTTATACCCTTGTTAAGGAGGTCAATTTCAGTTTCTGTAAAAGTAGTATCAGAAAAATTTAGAAGAATTTAGAATCTGCTAATGTTTTCTAATCAAAATAAATTTCTATTTTACGATCATGAAATTTTAATTAATATACTTTTTAAATGCATAACCTTTCCATACATGTAACTAGTTTGAGATGTGCTTTACTTATTTCGACGATAAACCTGTATGAGATCTCCATCCTTTCCCATCTCTCTAATATTGCATCGCTGTAAATAATACAATTAATAATGAACTAAGTCGAGCAGAAATTAGCTTAATTAAGGAACTATCAATAAACGGAGTATTAATAATTTAGGTATGAATGAATTTTCTCTGATAAACAACATTCAGGTAGGTAATTTCTAGTTGAATATCAAATACTGTGCGGCCATCATTATATTATAGAAATTGTTTATACACCATTTTCACAAATGCAATCAGTTTTGATACATAATTAAGCATATTAGACCGATTGGTGATATTTTATATCAGCAAATATAATTTACTAAATGATACAGATTTGCAAATTAATTGCGCACCGATAGATGAAGGCGAAGGTTTAATGAAAATTGAAGGAGAAAATAAAAGTATTGCACAAATTAGGATATTAGGATCGTAATTGCAGTAGTAAATATAGAAAATACTATGAGAGTAGATACTTTTATTTTATTTTAACAGGTTAGGTGCCACCATATCTTTCAAAAATAGCTGATATGTCAAAAAGTTTGAATATTCTTGAAAGTTTTATATGGTAATTTACCATTGGCTTTGGTATTAACGATTCTGTCACACCATTGGTGGATGTAACTTTACTCTAATGTTTCTTACATTAAAAATTATCCTTTGATTCTAAATTATCGTTAGAATACCACTGATTTATAAGTGTTGCTATCTGTCTTATTATAAATATAACTTAAATGTTTGAAATAACCCATGCGATTCCGCTGAAACTGCGTCTAAAACGGTTTGATATGACTACTGAGCAGTTTCCGAATTTTGAATAATTGAATAAAATAAAGAACAACTCTCATGTATATACATGTACAGCCGTTCTGTTACAATTAAAATGAAACTATGATGATGTCTAGGACCGTTAAATAGAATTTCCTACAAACTTATCATCATCATGATCACCATCGTTTATCCAGAACAATATTTGTTGGAGTATTTCAGCTTTTGATTCAAGTATGCCTTTTGGAGTTCTTCTTCTATTTGAAGGTGGCCCTACATCAAGAGTTTTTCCATTGGACAAGGCGTGGAGATACGAACAAGTGTTTCCAAATGGACATTTTCCTCTACCCTTACGGAAATATTTGCAGTCTTGTTTCTTCATTCTTTGCCTCTGGCTATTAATAAAATTCAATTTTTCTTCCTTAGATTCCAACTAAACCTTCGAAGGATATACAAAATCTGAGGCGACTCTACATTCGTGACAGCCTTTATAAACATCTAATTCAAATTCCTTACTTTATCTCCATTTTCTAATGCAAGCAAAGCAAAAACAATGGTTGCAATTTGGTAGTATTCCAAAAGTTTTTTCAGACTTGTTAATTTTCTTCAAAATAGTATCAAAACATATACCTCCCCCTTTATTTCTATTCATATATTTTCTTGCAAGGGGTACATTTCAGTAAGTAATTTTTTCCCCACAAGAAACCAACGAGCACGTTTAAAGATTAGGTTAGATTGTGTGATATTCACATCCGTCATTTTCTTCTTTTATTCTTCAGTTGCTTCACAACAGTTAACCCAGTCATTTCTTCTTCTTTCTTCTTCCTACAACATCACATACACTTGGTGATTGGTTCATGGCCCAAATCTTATATAATAAATAATAAATATTTCTTCACTCATAGTTTACATCTTATTACCTATACCCTGTCATGGGTTTACCCAAGAATTTTTTTGTTAATACTTGCCACCACCTGTAGAGGCCTTAACTTGACAGGTCTCCTTTCAAAAATTTTAGTTTTTTGAAAAAACAACAAGGTTGTTTAAAATAAGCCTTATCTTTTAATCTGTTTAATGTATGTGATTTGTTTTGTATGGCCTTGAATATTTTAAATTTTTACCATTTTAATTGACTAATATTTGTTTTTTCAAATATTTTTAACTTTTTATTACTTGTAAACTTTGTTCATTTTACAATTTATTTCACCCCACATTTGATGAAACTTGTTTTGTAGTATTCCCTAGTGGATGGAGAGTATGGTGAGTTTTCTCTTTTTTTAATATTTTATATATCGTTTGCTCCAAGTTAACACACCTTACACCACATATTCTCCTTTCCACTAGGTGAGCCTGAAGATGAAGTGATGACACTTCGAAACCGGTCGCACTCAATGTTTTGTTAAATAATTAAACATTGACTTTCCTTGTGAGATATAAAGGACTTTTTCTCCCCCTTCACCTTAAAATTACCTCAACTCACACATGGCTACCCCCCTTGTCATATACCACACACTTTTTCTTCTGACTCGGAAATTTTTATTAATTGTATTGCTTCTTCAGCACTTGATGTACTGGGGCCAAAAAATTCTCTTAATGGTACATTTTTAGGCTTAGTTAAAGATAGGGCATATGCACTTTCTTCCTCGATTGGTTTTGGCTCTATTTTTTCGACTTCCTTGACTTCTGTAATTTTTTCATGACGATTCCAACATCTATTTCCAAATCTGCACATTCCTCTCAGATTAAACTTACAAATCGCTTTATTTTCAAGAATTTCAATATTCATCTTAGTAGTTTTTAATTCTATTAGTACAAAATATAGATAGATTCTCAAAGCAACAAGATTATTTAAAAAAAAATAGATATGTATTTATAATTAAAAAAATCTTTGGTGACAAGAGACTATGATACAATATGATGTTTAAATGACATTCAAATTAATTTTTTTTTTTTTTTTTTTTTTTTTTTAGTTTTTAGTTTTTACCTTGTTGAAATATCTTCAGAGCTTCCTAAGAGTTATTATTCGATCATTAATGTTGATGAGGATCCCACCATTGAAATTTACTATTATTTCATATTGTTAATTCTAGAAATATAATACATGAAGTATTTTATTGTGTAAAATACAATGTTTTTTAATTGTTAATAAATCTTTATCATTTTCCTCTAATGTTTTAACAAAATATAATTATTTTAGCTTTACCTGTAACAGTGTTTGACTGGATTCGGGAACAACATATCAATTATTGGGGAAGCACCCCAAAACAGGTACATGTCCCAAAAGAACTGGATAACTACTCTTAATGAATAGGAACCAGTTGAAAGTGATAACAGGGTTCATGACTGGGCACGTCCCAGTAAAGGGACACTTAAACAAAATTGGCATGTACAATGGGGAACTCATGTGCCGACTAATTGCCATACACATACTGTGCGAATGTGAAGCTCTAGATCGCAAAAGACAGGCTCTTTTTGGACAACCCCAGGTTGATTCAACAATGTATAGAACCCACTCACCCAAGGATCTGTACAAACTTGTACAAGGTACAAAGGTGATAGAGTGGGTGCTATGAACTAACATGGGGTAAAACATAATAAGCCAATAGGCTTCAGTGTTATTCAGAGACACATAGTCAGACGAGCCCAGGAGAGAAAAAAAAACAGTGGTTCACCAAGGTCCTCTTAATGATATTACTATAATTTTTATTCAATCATATAATTCCTACAAATAATCTACAAATAAATTCTGTTATTAAAAGTTATTTCAACACATCTACCTTTTAGTAACATTAAATACAGTTAGTTATTATTACATAGTTTATACAAAATACCCTAAATATTACAATGTGTGTTGGGAGTTGGTCTCTGCTAATATAGAACATTTTTTAAAAACTAAATTTTTTATTTACAAATTATTTAAAAAAAAAATAAATAGCAAAATATTTAAGCAGTCCGTAAAAGAGTACTTTCTTGAAGCTTTTAATAAAAATATATATATATATTATTAACAAACTTATGGATTAGTTGGAACAATTTCTTATAGTAGTAGTAGTATAGTCAGAGCTGTCCTTCTAGTTTTTTCTTTGTTTATTTTTGATGAGTATAAATATGAGAGCTAAATCTTTATTTTTATCTTTATCAGTTATGTTTAGTCTTAAATACTACAGCATCTTAGATATGTTGTACTCTCCTGTATCACCTGGATTCAGATACTATTTTTGAATAGTCTTCTGAATAGTGTTCTTGGAGTGCTTTTATACGTTCCAGACAAAAAGGGTGTGTCTTTCCTTAGGTAGATAACTAAATATGATACTTCTTTCTCTTCCTTAAAAAGTTTTCATATACTATAAGTAGGTGCAAAAAAGAACTGGGTTTTTTCAAGACGACTTATTTTCTAACATAACTCTTTGATTCATCAAAGTTGGCTTAAAAAATTGGTTTAAAAACCAATTATTTGCTGTATTTGATACTCAGTTTAACTCTTACAAATTATAACTCTTTACGAAAAATTAAATGAATTTTTATTCTCAAGGCTATTAAAATATATGTTAATATTAGAAAATTTTAAATGTATTAACCATTTTTTTAATGGAAATAAATTATTAACCCTCGTATTACTGTGAATATAATTTGCAGGATACTGCCAATAAGCGTCGTGGTTGACCTGGTTCATTTTAAAGAGTCTGTGCATGAAGCGAAATGAGAAAACGAATACGGCCATCATACATATTTCAATACTCAATGCCGTCTTTTCGGTAAAACCATAAAAGATGATGAATGCGATATTTACTTATATTTGCAAGGTACGTATAAGAGCCTAAGCGTGTTCCTTATTTAATTCGCCATCCAAACAAGAAATTCCTAAACCTACGCCTGCCGAGTCTTGAAATTTCTAAGCACACATCAGTTCCTTACTAATGGAATTAACTATCCCAAGCATACGCTCGAAGAGCGCAGCTTCTCGCATTCCAACTGTGTTGAAACCAACTAGAATAACCGTTAAGGGTTACTTTACCTGAACAAATATACAGCAAATTTGAATTATGTGCTCCGTTGTGAGGCGAGCATTAAGCTGCATTGTTCCTGTGTAATAATATTGGATATTAGATAATGATATTGTTGCAAATGAGGACGCTCTCTGCGGCCGCCATGATTTACTTCCAAGTGATATTATGTAGTACCTTATAATGCTCTAATGGTCGAATTTGAATTGTCGAGAATTGATATTTATTAGTTTCAATAATTATCTGTAAGAAGAATTTCATTTTCCAATCATTATACCGGTGATAAATGACCGGTTTTAAAATTTCTAGTTTAAAATACTCTCCAAACTTGATCGGTGTAAACCTAGGGAACAATTTTTGCCGAACTATCAGTGGGGTAGTAATTATTTTAGGAGGCATTCAAAAAAATAACCTGTCCTAAAGAGAACGAGATCAAATAGAATATTTTTCTACCCCAAGGAGAAAACATCACAGTATTTAATAATGTAATCTCAAGCAAATTATTTGAAACATCCTGTATTATGTGTATTTGTATTAACAACTACCAACTGAGAGTTTTTTCATTAAAGCAATAATTTAATAATAAGTTACAACGCTCTTTTATATGTATTTTTAAAACAACCATTGTAACATGATAGAGGAGATGTGTAGGTTTTGGTATATGAGTTGGACATCTCACTATATTAATAAAAATCTATTTAGACCTCAAAAAAGTGTAATATTAAAATGTATTGACAGTCTTCTTCGTCGGTACTTGTCGTCGTCTTTTTTATTATTATTTTTTTTATTTCTTTTTTGTTTCCGTAAAAACTCTATGACCACGGTCGTCAAGGCTCGACCAATCAGCGCACACCTCAAAAGACGGCGAAGCGATATATTTACCTAAGGCTTAACAACGTTATGACCATGACATAAGTTACGACATCGACGCTTGACCAACCTCAAATACAAACGACCTAAAAATTTTAAAATGAAATGACATGTCAAAACTAAAAAAGGTAAGGAACATGATGTCGCCACAATTAGGCATTCCAACGACCTGTCCAAATGGCTACCAGTGGGATCTGAGAGTTTAGATATGGCAACCCTGTCGGCATATTATTAACTGGGTCAATGATACATATTGTCATAAATTCCTAATCCGACCCTGTATACGCACGCAATCAACTCGTGACCGAAGCAACGCGTCCAGTATCGCAGGCTCACCTTTTCCGAGTTCCCTCGAATCCGTTCAGGTATACAGCGCGCGGGAACGCATTATTCAGGCTTTTCGCGTGGTACTCAGCGTTCGATATTGCAACCTATTGACAAGATATGCGCCCCCTAAGTAATATTTTTAAATTTATGTGGCATATAATCCAAAACACATTCGCCTTAAAGTTTTATTACAAGTGTAAACAAAGTAATTTTAATGTTTTTTTTTTTAGAAAATACACAATTTGCTTATTTTAAAAACTTATTTTCTCCTAAAGGTATATTTTTCTCCACGCACAGGAGTTAATTGTGGGGTGCTTTCGCCTTCTTTTTAACTAAAGAAGAAACTTTTCGTCCACTTTGCACTTTTCTACGTCCACATGCATGAACCTTTCTTCTTGAAACTGATGTTAGTTGAACCGATATCTTTTTTCCTTTTCGGCATATTTTTTTTGTCGAATTGATCCTTGTGTCTGTACATGGTTTGAAAGCATTGTGTAATGCTGACATTAACGTTGACTCTGACTTAACGTATTTATTATACGAATTTATACAAACATCCACCGCCGGAATAAAATTATCAGGGAGAAACTTTGGGAACACTTTGTTTCTCATTCAAATAACCCATATACATTTTTTTTTTTGTAATGGGATGGCATCAGACATGCAAGTCTATTTACCACAGAAAGATCCCATATACATTTATTCACCCTGTTCTTCCAAAATCTATTCCCCACATTACAAATTTTAAAATATTTAGGTATTATTGTACCACTTTAACAAGGATGAAACTAAATCATGGAGGTTTTCCGTCTCACCTTTCCAGAATTGGTATTAACATATCACCTTTCTGTCAATGCGACAATTCTTCTTTTGCTGATATCAACCATCTCATTTTTTCTTGTAGCCACCATAATTCTCATCGTTCAGATTTTCTTAAAAAACTTTCTTCCCTGAATATCCTTTTTCCATCAAGTATTTCTATTTTATTAAGTTCATTTAATGAGAAAATATATAACTTAATTATTGAATTTTTAATTAAAGAAAATATTAAAATATAAATAAATAAACAAAAAATTATTCGGTTAACAAAAGTCTGTGGCAACAAAAACTACGTTTGCCAATTCTCAAAAAAAAAAAAAAAAAAATGCCAAAAATTAATAATTGCAATTTCGAACGTTCTCGCGCTCTGGATACGTCGATGCATTCGGCGGTACTCGGAAAAGACGAGCCTGCGATACTGCACGCTTGATACGAATATGCGTGCCGTTTAGTCATCTTCGCGAAGTCTCTAGCATTTTCCAGTAGCGGAGTTAGACTAATATAAATAGACGACGTATCAGTACCGAGTTTAGTTTTAATATAGAACGTTGTATTGAAAAGTAAAAGTGTAAGAAACAAATTAGAATTGTTAGTTAGTGTTGAAATATTATATAAATTAAATAGTACGTCTGAAATAAATTGTAAATAGTGTTTTTAAACAAATAAACTTTAAATAAATTAAACTTTCGTCACAATATATAGTTTTATAGATTGCTCAAAGTGGGTCGTTTGCAAGCGGCCATATTGCCTGGCAAAAAATGTATTTTAAAAGCGATTTTATTTTGAAAACCATGGATGATGAATCT